ATTTTACATTATTGCATCATGTTCTACCCACTCATATGAGTTTTGTTTCATTTGGAGTCGTTCTGAAGATATTCGGTTTTGTTATATCCAACTAACATCTTCCTATGGGCAATGACTTGAAAGCAAAAACTAAACTGTTCATAATTTATTCTTTATGGAACGCCAGCACTCATAACATGTAGGCAAATCACTGTTCCCCAGACATCCGCAGTTATATTTTTTTAATTTATATTTTTTAAAACAAAGCGGAGTACGTATGACGCTCTACCCCTTCCATTCATTCGGGGAGCTAATCTGAATCGTTTGATTCCATTTCGAGAGCGAGATCATCTGTGGTAGTAGCACTAAACATCTTCCAGGCATGTGAATAAAACTAGCAGCAGTTCAGCGGACAGGATGAATGAATGGTACCTGGCGTGCACGGATGACGTCTTGGTGCTGCTGGTTCCATTAAATTTACATGGTTGCTATTTATCAAATCTGCACAGGGCCTTCAGAATCAGCAGTGCTTAATGATGTTACCTTAAGAATATTTCGTTTTGTTAGGGAAGTTTTTTTCAACCAGTCAGATCTACCTTCCTCTGATTCAGAATCTTTTGCGTCCTCTGATTCAGTATCTGTTATGTCCTCTGATTCAGTAACTGTTGCATCTCCGGATTCAGTAACTGTTGCATCCTCTGATTCAGTAACTGTTGCATCCTCTGATTCAGTAACTGTTGCATCCTCTGATTCAGTAACTGTTGCATCCTCTGATTCAGTAACTGTTGCATCCTCTGATTCAGTATCTGTTGCATCCTCTGATTCAGTAACTGTTGCATCCTCTGATATAGTAACTGTTGCATCCTCTGATTCAGTAACTGTTGCATCCTCTGATTCAGTATCTGTTGCATCCTCTGATTCAGTAACTGTTGCATCCTCTGATTCAGTAACTGTTGCATCCTCTGATTCAGTAACTGTTGCATCCTCTGATTCAGTAACTGTTGCATCCTCTGATTCAGTATCTGTTATGTCCTCTGATTCAGTAACTGTTGCATCTCCGGATTCAGTAACTGTTGCATCCTCTGATTCAGTAACTGTTGCATCCTCTGATTCAGTAACTGTTGCATCCTCTGATTCAGTAACTGTTGCATCCTCTGATTCAGTAACTGTTGCATCCTCTGATTCAGTAACTGTTGCATCCTCTGATTCAGTATCTGTTGCATCCTCTGATTCAGTAACTGTTGCATCCTCTGATTCAGTAACTGTTGCATCCTCTGATTCAGTAACTGTTGCATCCTCTGATTCAGTAACTGTTGCATCCTCTGATATAGTAACTGTTGCATCCTCTGATTCAGTAACTGTTGCATCCTCTGATTCAGTAACTGTTGCATCCTCTGATTCAGTATCTGTTGCATCCTCTGATTCAGTAACTGTTGCATCCTCTGATTCAGTAACTGTTGCATCCTCTGATTCAGTATCTGTTGCATCCTCTGATTCAGTAACTGTTGCATCCTCTGATTCAGTAACTGTTGCATCCTCTGATATAGTAACTGTTGCATCCTCTGATTCTGTAACTGTTGCATCCTCTGATTCAGTAACTGTTGCATCCTCTGATATAGTAACTGCTGCATCCTCTGATTCAGTAACTGTTGCATCCTCTGATTCAGTATCTGTTGCATCCTCTGATTCAGTATCTGTTGCATCCTCTGATTCAGTAACTGTTGCATCCTCCATTTTATTTTGGTATCAAAGTTCTTTTGCAAACTCCCTAGCCTTTTTTCCCCCCATATTCTTATCATGTTTCCTAAATCTTTTCTGATGCCTTTTTACAAACTTCCAGTGAATTTTCAATATCATTGAAGGTATTCAACTTTCTGTCATTGTTATGGGTTGTGACTTTCTGTCACAACCCACTGGTTGTGAGGTTAATCTTTCCTTTGGGATAAAGCTTTTGCCTTTGCATTTTCTGCAGTAATTTTCTCCATGAAGGTCTTCTGTTTATCCCTCTGTAGTTGAAGTCCCTTTATCCTCTTTTCGTATCTTTTGCTTAAAGACTTTTCAACTTATATCAGAGTTTTTAGATCCGGGTAAGAGATTAGTTCAAATTTCGGTTTTATATCCTGAATCCTTTGTTTTAAAACATTTTCGGTATTCTTTAAGTCTGTAATCGACTCTTCTGCCTCTTCTGAACTTCCAACCACTTTAGTTAGATATTAAACTTCTCTTGTGAACCTCTTAAAATCTTTTTCCAAATTCTGGTTATTTTTCCTGAACATTTTATGATGTTTTTCTGAAAGCTTGTACTTACATTTCAATATCATTGGATCTATTAACTTTTCTGTCATACTTACTTGGGGTTGTTGTAGTTCATCATTCCTTTGGGATAAAGCTTTTACTTTTTCAGTTTCTGCAGCTATTTTCTCAATGAAAACCTTCTGGGAATCTTGCTCTAGTTGAAGCTTCTTCATCCTTTATTGATATTTTTTGCTTCATTTGATGTTTTACATCAGACTAAGAGAGTTTTTCAGAAAAAGACTTGTCAAGATGTCCATTAAGTCTGCAGAGTTGGTTTGGATCATTTTCTTATTCTTTATAAGCATTTCTTTTATGTGAGAGGGATCAGTTTTTTAACCTGGCTAAACATTGAGATTTCTCTTGTAGTTTAAACCAGAACAGCTTTGAGGGAAAATCCCAGAGCTACTGTAACTAGAGAGGTCTCAGCTAGAATGCCACAAAATTTCTGACGTTTTGCTTCAATCAGTCAACCGTTGTCATCAACCAAGTCCTTCGTGATCTCTCTGCTTTCTCCCCTCAGACCAGTGGTGGGTGGCCAGCGCTTTCAAAGCCTTCACTAATGGCCTAAAATGAATCCGAAACACTAACCTACATTCACAACCTAAACTTTAATTTCCTTCTATCAAGCTGCAATAATTTTTTCCAACTAATCCATTCTCTTAATTTTTTTACAGTTTCTCTTGGCTGCGCTGCTCCCATTAGATTTATGGGGTTCCTATATTTTTTATCCAATCAGATTTAAGTCTTAGTGCGTTGCTATGTTAATCAAATCTGCCCAGAGCCATTAGAAACAGCAGTGCTGGCTGTAGTTACCTTAACAATATTAATCAAGAACGCTTTCTTCAACCAAACAGATTTCCTCAACAGGGCCAGCTAGCGGGCTCACTCTAAAGTCAGCATTCTCTGATTGGTCAGTTACAGCTAAATATTTACAGCCAAGTTAAGCTAGTGGCAATCTGCATTTTAAGACTTGTTTTATTAAAAGTTTACTGGTCTAAATGGCTGATTGTAAATTGAAATAACTAAGACTTCCTGCACAAAGATAGAAGGAGGGATTTTGTTTATAAATAATCAGAATCTCTGGTGGGTGTGATATATTTTATTTTCATGCTTTACGCGCTTTTTATCTGGTAATTAGATGCATATTGAATCTGAACAGTTTCTGATTTAAATGTGGCGGAGCTGTGGTTATAGAGTAGAGGATTATGGTTGTTTTAAGTTGTCCCCTTGCTTAATTGATCTCTGTATTCACCCTCACACTAATCTTCCTCTGGGTTATATCTGCACTTGTTACATTTCATATTTGAATACTATTGATGGCTTCTTTTATCACCATGTGAAAATGGTGATATCAACCCCTTTACACCCACCGTATCAAATATGCAACAAGATACCAAGATAGCATGTGCATTCCTTAAGTGCCAGCAAAAATACCCAGCCCTAATATACATATATATATATATATATATATATATATATATATATATATATATATATATATATATATATTAGTGCTGTCAATCGATTAAATTTTTTAATCGCGATTAATCGCATCAATGCCTGAGTTAACTCGCGATTAATCGCATTTTAATCGCACATTTTTTTCCTGATTGAAAATCATTTAAATACTCTCGATGACATACAAAAAAATACATACAGGCTAGGTTTGTGCCAATGTTCTTTTTTTAAAATGAAAACAGGTCACAGATACTGATTTATGCCATAGAAACATATGGCAAGAAGATGGGGAGGCATGTAGCAAAAAATAACAAATATGTAGCCAAAAAAAAGGCCCTGAAAACAGGCTGATGTAAAAGACAGTCTTTACAGTTAATACAGTCTTTTGAACAAAGACAAGCATTTTATCCTACTGCTATAAAATTTAGTAGAGTTAACATTAGATGTTAATTAACCAAGGTAATAATGAACAATTTTCAATCAATACATCAAAATCAATAGACCGACATCACTAGATGAAGGTAGTCTATGCTCTCTAGAAAGTTACTTTTCAGCCTCTTAACAAAAATGAGAACACACACACACCCACTCACCCACACACAGACACACACACCCACACACACACACACACACGCGATACCGACCTGTTGCGTACACAGACGGCAAGAGTGCTGCTACGAGATTCCATTTCACCTCAGTAATCAGTTTTCTCAGCGTATTTCAGGTTGCTACTAGTTACCAGACACTCAACTTGTTTGTTGGTGGTGGGGCTTAAAGAAAAGGCACTAGCGTCACCCAGTGTATGAGCGTCTTTTTCCCTTGAGGAGCTCCGCTCTCGAAGCCTATGAGAAATGCATACACTGGGGGAAAATAGCCCCGCCTTCCCGTGGGCTGCAGCGGGATGTACTTGGAAAAATTGTACCATAAAACCACATAGCGTTAATCTCACGTTAAAAAAATTATCGCCGTTAAAATGGCCTCGCGTTAACGCGTTAATAACGCGATAATTTTGACAGCACTAATATATATATATTGTCGTGTCTTTTACCTCTTGTTTATATGCGTCACGTCTTCGGATGAAGTTAGCTATCTTTGCTAGTTTTCATGTGAGATCTGATTAGCTTCAGCTTCCCTCTTGAATGCATATAGTTTACTCACAGTCTCCGTTGCGTGGGAATGACACGACAGGAATGCTGGATGAAGTTTACCATTTAATGGCTGGTTGGATGATTACAACAGGCTGCAATGACGCCTAGATCCAACGAGGAATTGTCTTCTCGTCGGGGCCAAGTGGCGTCTTCTATGCAGCTTATCAAACAACTGAACTCAGGATACAGACAGCCAATATTAATAACCAAGGATCCAACTGCCCTCTAGCGGCCACACGTAACATTACACTTACTTCTGTTAAGTCCTATGACTGAACTAGTACATTCGCTACACAGCCCCCCTCCAAGAATACTGAGTCCCTTCGGTACATATTTCAGGGTAAGTATAGACTAAATGCATTTCAACTAAGAATTACTTTAACGTCCAAAAAGTTAAACCTGAACACATTTTGAAACACTTAAATCAATTGATTACTTAAATCAAAATGAAGACAATAATTATTAGTTAGAGTCCCAAAAGTGAACTAGGTATGCTCAAAGTCAAAAAATGAACTACTGACTTTATCGATGAGAGTCCATTCATGCTTTGTACCAGACAGGGGGGCGGACTTCGCGACCTCTGGACGTGGTAGGAGGCTGCAGGGGCATTGCAGGGCTGTCATCCTGGTCCGGTGGCACCGTCTCCTCTAGAGGTGGGCAAGCCGTCTTACGAGCCTGACGGCGCCGTCGTGCAGTTCTTTGACGCCCGCGTCCTCCAGGTTCTTGTTGCGTTGACTCCTCGTCCGCGCAGCTTGAAGAATCCTCTGGCTGACCGCCGGGTGCTCCATGCGATTCGATGCTGGGAGGGGGCTGGTCTCTCTGGAGAATCTCGTGCCGTCTCCGTCACGTCCATCCAGGTATCACATCAGATGTGTAGGGCTTCAAACGGTCATGATGCAGGATCTTTCTGTCTCGCTTCCCTATCACTTCGTACAGCACTGGGCCCAGGCAGGAGGCAATGATGCTAGGGCCTTTCCACGGCGGTTGCAGCTTTGGACTGAATCCCTTTCTCTTGGTACTGTCCTTTACAAAGACTAGATCTCCAACAGCATATGGTTTTCCTTTGGCCCTGACATCATAGGTTCGTTTTTGGCGTTCCTGGGCGGCTTTTAGGTGTTCTCTAGCAGTTTCTTGTGCCTCCTTCAAGCCCTGCTCCAGCTCACTCAGGAACTCCGGAACCGCACACCTGTCCCGTCTGAACTCTGCTGCACCTGACCAGATGTCATGTGGTTGGTGGACCTCCCTGCCCAGCATGAGTCTGTTTGGGCTGCATCCTGTGCTGGCATTCTTGGTGCTACGATATGCTGCCGTAAGCAAGGGAAGATGCTCGTCCCAGTTCTTTTGGTTCTGGTCCACATAGCAGCGCACCATCTGCAGGAGGGTTCTATTGAATCTTTCAACTTGGCCATTTGATGCCGGGTGGTATGGCGTAGTTCTAGTTTTGGTGATTTGAAGCAGCTGACACACTGTCTTAAACAGAGTGCTTTCAAAATTGCGACCCTGGTCGCTATGGAGTTCCAGGGGGCAACCAAAACGTGATATGAAGTCATACACAAGTCTTCTAGCTGTGGTTTCTGCTCCTTGATCGGGTACCCCATAAGCTTCCACCCATCGCGTGAACTGGTCTATGATGACCAGAATGTACTTATTGCCTGCTGTAGATACTGGAAAGGGACCCAGTATGTCCAACTGTAGGCGGTCAAGGGGGGCTCCGGTCTGGTACGACTGCAGTGCTGCTTTTGTTGTTGGCCCAGCAGTCTTGCGTGTGGTACAGTTCTGGCATTTCTGTACAAAGAGCTGCACATCACCTCCCATCGCATACCAGTGGTAGCTCTGCTTCAGGCGTTGTAGAGTTTTATCAATCCCCAGGTGGCCCCCATGAGGTGGATCATGGCAGGCCCTGATTAATTCCATCTGCATTGAGGTTGGTACTAACAGCAAGTGACGTGGTTGTCCTCCATCCGCCCTCTCCCAACGATAGACCAGAACTCCATGGTGCAGCTCGATCTGGGGCCAGCACAGCCAGTACTTCCTAGCAGCAGGACTTTCAAGGGACACCTCATCTCGTGTGGGCAGTTCTCCTTTTTCAATCCACTGATGCAGCTTGGATAAAACAGGGTCTTTGCGCTGCTCAAGTGCCCATTCTTCTTGGGTAACCGGCTGAAGCCAGTTTGTAGCAGGCGTGCCTGTCCCTTCTGTCACTGGATCTTTTGGTTGTTCTTTTGTTCGATTTCCCTCATCTTCATTTGTGGTTAGACGCCTGACTGCAAGGGGAACCACATCATCCACATCCTCAGTGAACTTGGCCCATTGTTGGTCGAGTCGTTGGCAGTGTGCACAGCCATGGCATGGCAGAGAAGCCACATCTTGCCCTGCCTCATAGCAGTCACAGCTTTCACTTCCGTCACCATCTTTGCGTGACATGCCATCAGCATTTAGATGTCTTCTTCCTTCTCTATGCTCAATCTCAAAGTCGTACTGGCTCATTTCTTCCAACCATCTTGCTAATTGGCCTTGGGGATTCTTGAACCTGAAGAGCCATACCAGACTGTTGTGGTCTGTGCGTAAGAGGAATCTTCTCCCCAGAAGGTAATGCCGGAACTGCCGGGTGAATTTAATCACAGCCAGTAACTCTCTTCGGGTTACACAGTATCTCTGCTGTATCGAGGTCAGGTGATTGCTTGCATACGAAATGACTCTCTCTTCACCCCACTGATTTTGAGACAGTACAGCTCCAATGCTGTGATTAGATGCATCTGTGTCCAGTATGAATTTCCCTTCACTGGTAGGGTAAGCCAGTATTGGAGAGGAGGTGAGCTTTTCCTTCAAGTGCAGGAAGGCTTCTCTTTGTTCCTCCCCCCATTCAAATTGGACTTCCTTCTTCAAGAGGTACGTTAATGGGCTCGCTAGTTCAGCAAAGGATGGAACAAACTTTCTGTAATAGTTACACAGCCCTAGGAAGGCTTGGAGTTCTTGCCTGCCTGTGGGGTAGGGCCAGTCCTGTACATCCTTCACAAGTGCTGAATTCGGTCGTATGCCTTCACCACTAACGACGTGTCCCAAGAACAGGACTTCTTCCTTTAGGAGTTGGCATTTTGACGGTTTAAGTTTCAGCCCAAAGCTCTGCAGTCTTCCAAAGACTTCGGTCAGGCGATCCAGGCTCTCCTCGACGTCTTTCCCTAGAATTATTATGTCATCCAGGTAAATCAGTAGTGTGTCCCACTGAAGACCACGAAGGGCAAACTCCATTGCCCTCTGAAATGTCCCAGGGGCGTTACACAACCCGAAGGGCATCCGGGTATACTCGTATAGTCCATACTTCGTGATGAACGCTGTCTTTCCACGGTCTCTTTCGTCTACAGCAATCTGCCAGTATCCACTTTGTAGGTCAAGAGTGGAAAAGACTGTCGCCCCACCCAGCACATCTAAGCACTCTTCAATCTTTGGCAGAGGATATGCATCCTTTGTTGTCAAGCTGTTCAGATGCCGATAGTCGACACACCAGCGTACACCTCCGTCTTTTTTGCGGACTAGAACCACAGGCGATGCCCATCCAGATGACGAGGGGGTTATTACTCCTGCATTCAGCATAGACTGAAGGTGGGTTTCCTCTTCATTTTGAAAGCCCAAGGGTGTTCGCCTTGCTGGTTGACGGACTGGTCTGGCTGTACCAGTGTCTATCTGGTGTGAGACGGCAGAGAAGTAGCCAAGGTCTGTGTCAGATACAGCAAACAGGGACTGGTAGTTAAGCAGTAGAACAATCAGTTTCTCTTGCTGCTCCTCGCTAAGCGTCTCTCCAGATGCCGTGTATAGAGTTTGCACATGTTCAGGTAGGTCAGTGGCTTTAGCAGTGACGACCCTGCCGATCTTTGGTGCACTTTTGGGGTCATTGTCTGAGTTGCATTCAATGTCCAGTTCAGACTGTAAAGTGGAGTCATCTGAGAAGGCCTCAATCAGGATTCCGAGGCATGCCCCTTTACGCAAAGCAGCCTTATCTGAGGAAAGGTTGCACAAGCGCACAGGCACACGAGCATCCATGTTTGTGACTGCACTTCCTGAGGACACATTCTCTGTAATGCTAGTTGGCTCCAACACAGCAGGGACGCCTGGCCTTGGGTACTCCACCTCTCCCCATACCACACATTCACACTCTGGTGGCAGTGTTGTATCTCTTTCCAGCAGTACACGGGCAACTGAGTAGTCTGGCCCCTCCCCGCCCACAATCTTAGCGGGAATGGGCTCCCCTGCGATAAAAACCCGGCCAGTAGCTTCGATTGTGACATTTGCAGCTCTGAGGAAGTCAAGACCGAGCAGAAGACAATCATGGATTGGGGCCACATAGACATCCCAGTCAAAACTGTGGGTTCCTATTTGGAAAACCACTTGCACTCCACTCATGGCTGTCATCTCACTGTTGGACTCGGCATTGTGAAGAACTGCCTTTTTTAGATGTGGTGGGTCACGCCCATACAGTTGCTTGTAAAGCCCTTCAGAGAGGACAGTTGCCTCAGCCCCTGTGTCCACTACAGCTTGGACTGGAGTGTTGTTCACCTTCAGTGTAATGTGAAGACTAGGCCCTCGGTTGGTGGCACGACTGATTGTCAATGTTGGGGACCGAGTCTGCTCTTGGGCCATGTCATGCTCGCTTGCCGTAGTACGCCTGGTGGTTGGGCTAGGTGACCTGGAGCATTCCCTCCTGAAGTGCCCCGCTTCCCCACACCCATAGCAGGGCCCTTTTGTGCTTCTAGGAGGGCTTGCAGAGGTAGTGCGTGCACTGCTACGTGACTGAGTAGGCTGCTGCTGCCTGCGGCTTTGGTCATGATAGACGCCATGTTCTCTGCCCGGGGAAACGTCGGAGTGCCTCTGCCCTCTTTGTTCACTCATGACTGGTTGCAGACGGCTAAGAGTCAACTGCATTTGTTCTACCTTCTCTAACAGGCCTTTGAACTGGTCAGCTGTGACATAAGTGGGGGTTTGAACCCGGCGAGAAACATGCGCCATCTCGTCATTGTCATCAGCCCAAGACACGCGTCTTGTTCTACCCTTCAGGTCCACTTCCCGCCCCACTGTAGCCTTGTAGTTGTGTTCATGTGCTTCCACTAGCTTTTGGGCGTCTGCCAGCGTGCATGGATCTTTATTCATCACTTCATAGGCTAGCTTTTGATCTTTCAACCCCTTTAGAAAAGCATCTGCAGCCAATTGATCTTGCAGGGACATATCTACACCAGGGTAGGCAAAGGTTACTAAACGTCTCACCTCCTCTGCAAACTCCGCAGATGACTCTTTTGACTGGCGTAATTCTCCAAGTTTTCTGCGAACCGTTGTTGGGGGATCTTGATGACCAAAGCGTTGAGTTAGGTGTTCTTTAAGCAGAGTGTAGTCTTCTCTGATGTGTTCTGGAAGGGAACATACATAGCGCATGGCAGCGCCGCGAAGACATTCATGCAGCTTGTCGACCCTTTCAGCACCAGTCCATGAATATTTGCGAGCTAGTCTTTCGAATGGCAACAAGAATGGCTCCCAGTCCTCTTTTCCATCATACGTCGCCATTTTTGGTCTAGGCCCATCATATGGGGCAGTTGGAGGAACGTCAGATTGTATGTGACTGGAACCATGAGTACGAGAGGTGGCAGCTGTGAAACGCTGTCGTCCTCTCTCCCTTTCCATGCCTCTGGCCCTGTCCACAGCGCCTGAATCAGACAGCAGCCAAGGGGGGCCTGTGCTCTGGGACCGCTGTTGAATTACATCCAGTTCAGCAGCAAATTGGTTTGTTACACCGTCAGCAGCACGTGGAGCAGACATAAGTGTGGCTTGGGATACTACAGGTGAGTGTGAAATTGAATGTTCCTGCAGGCTGGGGCGAGCAAAGCCATCTTGGGTGGCATGAGATGTGCGACTTCGGGTCACTTGATCTGAATTCACAGTTGACACTCCCACTGCAGGCGCTGTAAGCTGTGGAGATGGGCCCCTGTTGGAATGGAGATGTGTGGTCAACCCAGCCAAGGTTTGTTGCATGTGTTGCATCTGTTGCATTTGCGTTTGTTGCATTTGTTGCATTTGTTGCATTTGCGTGCGTTGCATGTGGGCTTGCTGCTCTAACAAGATTTTTACCCATGACGGTGGGTCTGACGATGTTATTGTGGCCGCAGTCGCACTATCTCCACTTGCTTGGTCTTCAGACATCATGACAGGATTTCCTTCTTTCAGGGTTTTTTTTTTTTTTTTTTTTTTTTTTTTTTAATATATATATATCTTTTTTTTTTATCTATTTAGTTATTTTTTATTTATTTTTTTTTTCTTATCTTTTATTATTATTATTTATTTTTATTTATTTATATATATATTTTTTTTTTTTAAGATGAACGAAGTGTTTTGAATGCAATCCTGTACTTTGGCACTTCAAGCAAGTCAGTATAGTGGATGTTATTAGCAGGGCTAATGTCCAAGGCAATGTGCAATAAACAGTTCAGAAATCATTCGCACGTCGCTGTTATGCTACTTTTCGGTTGTCCTTAACATCTACGTCGGGCACTTTTTCCCTTTGCAGCACCGCCGCATCCTCCTCTCGCACGGGGGAATGGAAACAGAGCACCGTCGAGTGACTGGATATCTCTGATTATTCGGCAAAGAATAATACTCTGATACAGTCCAAAAGTTCGGCAGAATGAAAGTATTAAGTGCAAACTCCCAAAGCACACTAATATTTCGGTCCACTTTGCTTGAATGATGACGGTAACTTGCACTTCTGACACCAGTGTCGTGTCTTTTACCTCTTGTTTATATGCGTCACGTCTTCGGATGAAGTTAGCTATCTTTGCTAGTTTTCATGTGAGATCTGATTAGCTTCAGGTTCCCTCTTGAATGCATATAGTTTACTCACAGTCTCCGTTGCGTGGGAATGACACGACAGGAATGCTGGATGAAGTTTACCATTTAATGGCTGGTTGGATGATTACAACAGGCTGCAATGACGCCTAGCTCCAACGAGGAATTGTCTTCTCGTCGGGGCCAAGTGGCGTCTTCTATGCAGCTTATCAAACAACTGAACTCAGGATACAGACAGCCAATATTAATAACCAAGGATCCAACTGCCCTCTAGCGGCCACACGTAACATTACACTTACTTCTGTTAAGTCCTATGACTGAACTAGTACATTCGCTACAATATATATATATCATCATATATTGGGCTGGGTATTTTTGCTAAAGTCTTGAATCGATTCGATTTTGATTCATTAAGTTCTAAATCGATTATTTTCGATTTGATCTGTTTTTACAGTTATGAAAGTTGTTTAACTGTGTTTCAAAATGCTCATGTATTTTATTTTTTCCTGTCACATTAAACGCAAAGTGCAAACTTGTAAATCAGACAGTTTAAACTTGAGATGTGAACAAAACTGTCTTATAAGTGCAAACTTGTTTGTGAAAAGTCAAAAATGTAAATTAAATCTATATTTTACCCAGCCCTATACATATATATATATATATATATATATATATATATATATATATATATATATATATATATATATATATATATATATATATATATATATATATATATCAAGGCTATATATATGTGTGTGTATATATAGGGTTGTCACGATACTAAACTTTTCAACTCAATACCCATACTAAGGCAACTATTCAATACTCGATACCATTTTCGATACCACAAGGAAAAAAACAAAGACTCCAAAATTCAACAGAAATATTTTCATTAATAAACAAAATTCAATAAATAAATAAATACAATAAACAATAAGAACAATATTTTGAGGTTGTATGCTGTGCACAGTATTAAGCAAGCTTGATAAAAAACTTACAAAATGAACATTAAGTGTTCTTTCCTTGGCTATGCTTTGCACACATCACAATGATATACTCTAATAATCCCAGAGGGAAATTACTTCTCTGCATTTAACCCATCCCCTTGAGGAGCAGTGAGCTGCCATTGTGAGGCGCCCAGGGAGCAGTGTGAGGTAAAGGGTCTTGCTCAGGGACCCAGAGTGGCAGTCTCTGGGAGCGGGGGATCGAACTCACAATCTCAGGATTGAAAGCCCTATGCCCTAACCACTAGGCTGCCACTCCAATGACACTAGCCAAACCAGCTAAGAAACAAAAATAATTTTCAGCAGCTGCACCTGTTATAAAAAAAGTCTGAAACTGAAAAGTGCACAGAATTATTCAATCACACAGTGTTCAGAAAGTGCATTTTCCTCTATTCTGCACTTTAGATGAATGACTGTTTAAGTGCCACTGGTGGTAGCACTGTATCGATACTTTTGAAAACGAATATCGTATCCGGATACAACGTTTCAGTATCGATACTTTTTTGAGTATCAATACTTTTGGTGGAAAAAGCAGCTATAGAGTAAAAATCATTGTTTGGACTAAATATACATATTTCCTGTAACTGTTATTAGTTGCGGAGCATGCATTTAGAAGCTTTCTTTCTGATTATCCTTACAAGAGGGAAGCCCACATTTTAAAGGGTTCATTAAACTCCTCAAAGGCTTCATTGATATTTGTGAAAGTTTTATTTTTCTCCCTTCTTTCAGTCACGTTGCTCTGGGGCGTTGTTAAAGATTCAGCCTTTCCCACACCTAATGGTACAGCGTGTCTGTGTTACCGATGCTGTTAAAATAGCCACATTCTTCAGCTGGATGATATTTATAGCTCAAACTCTGACATCATGCTGGAAAGTACGGTAAGAGCAAAGATCCTAAAGACGTGAATGTTTCCTCACAGCTACATTTCGTCTCACTGTTTCCTCCTATTACTCTGGATAATGTAATTTCTTCTGGTTCATTTAAGTAGGAGCAGTTTAACTAATGTTAAATTACTGTTTGATTAGAAACCTTTTTTTAATATATATATTTATGCTAGAATGAAATCGGCTCACTCATTGATATCTGCTATGATTTTTGAATGGAAGAATTTGATGGATTTCATTTTCTCAAACCTCCTGAGATTGACTTAGGGCTGAAACTAGGGCTTAAATAATCAATTAGGTTGAATTTTCAATTCAGTTTATTTAAAATAGCGCCAATTCATAACAGATGTCATCTCAAGGCAGTTTACAGTTCTCCAGATCATACAGTCAAATTAATTCAAAGTTTTCTATCTAAAGAAAACCAGTTGATTGCATCGAGTCATTGACTCGAATGCTTAGCACTTAGCATGCTTGTAGCGACCGTGGAGAGGAAAAGCACCCTTTAAACAGGAAGAAGCTTAGTTTAATTTCATTAATCATTATTTATTATTTAATTAAATAGTGTCAACTAATGTAGTGATCTATTAATTGTTTACTTTAGTATAGATACTCCAGACCATGTCATACCATTAGCTATAAGAGATACCCAGACAGAGCAGTAATGAGACTAAATTTCTAACAGATACATTTTGCATTATGTTGACTTTTTTCAGCATCGGTATGCTCTATCCTGTGGTCCTCAATTGGCATAGTTTTAAATTCTGTATAAAATCTTCTTTTGCTCTGGTTGATAATTGATTAATTGATGAATAACTGATTAATTAATCATTAAATCATCATAAATAAGTTTTTCTGATTATTCAACAATTAAAATTATTTGATCAGAAAATTAATCAACAGATCAATCGATTAAAATAATCATAAGTTGCAGCCCAAGATGAAACCTAACCCAGTAAGTAAAATAACTGTGCATGATCAAACATGCATCACCTTTAGACAAAGTTATTTAGATCCCTTGATAATGGTAATCTTTAGATTTTACATGTTTATCCTGATTTTAAGCAATATTAAGAATGTGCGGTGGCTCAGCCAGAGTATCAACTTGAATCTAACAAAGAATCTATGGAGAAATATAAAGATTAGGGTTTTTGCAGGTACCCTCCCCATGGTAACTTAACTACTTAAGAGTTCATCACTGAATCTGAAAAAATACAATTAGCAGAGAAAACATAAAAACTCATGCTTAGCAAATATAAAGAGTTTGACTGATGTAATGCCAATAAAGATGCTTCCTTTATTATTTAGAAGGCTGTCAGTAATTTCAGACATCTTTTTCACAACATGAGGACCCAAATTTGGGTCCTCAGCACTCGCCCCAAGATGGTTTTTAGACCTGTAACATATTCTCTTGGGTCTTGCCTTTATTTTGATACCAAAACAATTAAAATAAACTCTGTAGTACTTGAGATATATTCAATTAATTTTGGGCATGTTATTTTCAAGCATATTTCTCAAAAACAGGCCTAGTGTCCAAGAGGTTAAATAAAATGTGTCATAAATGCTTTGCAGCTGAAATTAAATTAATTATATCTAAGGAAGCAGCATGAACAACAGTTTTTCCTGGACAAATCTACACTAACAAAGCACAAAAAATGCAAACCACTCTGGTTCACTTTGGAGCTTAATGGGGGGATGGTGACCCCCTTATAACCTAAAAAATGTCTAAGTTCTCTAAAGTATAGCAACACCGCATCTTTCTGAGGAAATTACTAACTCTATTAAAAAGTAAAATGATAATACTGAATTAAAATCGGACATATGATTAGTCTGTTGTGCAGAACTCATTAATAAATTAGGAAATTCTATTTAGTTCTAACAGTGAGAGTTTTTTTTTTTATCAGTCTGGTCTATTGTTTCAGTGGCAGAGATATTGAAGCATTATTTTAGCTCGTCTGATATGAGCTCCTTGACCAAACGTAGCTTTTTTTTTGTCGTGGCCTTCCGGTTTAGGATTTCTAGCTTACTTCAGGAGTATCAGTCAGCACTAAACGGGAAGCCTCCCTTTTCTGACTCACCACCTTTCATGGGAAAGTCATTAAGACTGATCCAAACCTGGAGTAAGACTGACCAAAACACACTAAATGCAGTTCAAACTGGAATAAACTGGATATATACTTAATTTAGTTGCCAGTTTTGTTACACTTTAAATACCCTTGACAAGAACTTTGACATTTAAATGTCCAAACCTTTAACTACTTGCCATAAAAAGTGTTTGGATTAGACATCAGTTCCACATGAGGAGGTTTCAGTCTGGAAAATAAAAAGTTGCCCTCTAGGAAACGCTTACTTCATGAAGCATGTTATGGAAAAGGTTGTAAATAGAGAACAGCTGGCATTAAATAGGCACATTAATGGCAGGACAAATGTTTGTTTGAAACAGAACTAGGACTGATTTTCCTTCTTTTGAAAAATATAATAAATATAAACTTATATGTTGTCCATTTTTATTCACAGATTGTTATGATGGAGGGATAACAGACGGAGGAAGAGGAAGAGATGTCGTTCTTTGGTTTGGATTGTTTCACAGAGCCTGAGAGGGGTAAGCCCTCCAGATGTTTAATCATTTATCGTGTAACTTTGATGTGGAGTTATTTTTACTTTAGGCATTATTCTTATTTCACATATAATAAGATCATTCTTTTATGTTTTGCAAGTCAGTCACCAGAAAAGTACAAGCTACTATCTACTTTAGCTGAAGCCAATAGTCGGGCAAAGAGATTATCCTGACATGACACATGAACTGAAACCCAATGGGCCAAGAAGATGGCATGTTTGAGAGCACTCTTCTACATTGTGAAGCACAGGGGTGGCAGTATCATATTGTCATGGTGTTAGATAACATCATGAGAAAAGAACATTATGGGGAAACATTAAATCTGCATCTTACTTAACCTGTCAGAAGCCAAAACTTAGACCCTCATTGGTTTTCCAAATAGATAATAAGCTATATTAAGCCTATTATTCTATATATATTTATAAAGTGACTCAAGAACAACACATTAAATGTTAAATAGTTGCCATCATTAAGCTATCATCTTAGTCCTGTAGAAAACGTTTCTCACTTTTGGATTAATGAAATAGTGGAAAATGTATAGTGGAGTATTTTTGTGAAGTTTTGAAAAGACCCAACCTCTCCACTTAAAAAGAAAAAATGCACATGCACAGCCCTGTACCCGTTCCCAAGAGGGAACGCATATGAAACGCGTGTGAGAGCATGTACTCTCCCAGTTCTCCTCGTGAATGCTATCTAAAAGTTGCTGTTTTCATCGCTTATACAAGCTTACTTTCCAAAAGATATGCAATTTTTCCACAATGTCAGACTCACCGCCGGTAAATGAAAAAGGCGAAGAAAAAAAAAGAAAAAGAAAAAGGCGAAGAGCCTGTAGGACGGCCTTCCGTAAACATGTCACTAGAAAGATTGGCAATTAGGAGGGCCACTTATTTTGAAGATTCACCTGGAAAAAGATCATCCTCTAGTACCATACCTTTAAATGCCTGGAAGACCATGAAGAACTTGTTTGTTAAAGAAGGACTCAGTATGGTTAGACTTATATATTATCTTTTTTGTTCACTTCGTTTATACATCTGTTCTATATTAAACATACTTTTATAGAAGCATGCTCCCAAAATAATATTTCTTTTGCCTTTTTAAAGCTGAGCTGGAGAGGAAGCTCAGAGCCAATGACCGGGAGTACAACCGCTCCTTCAAATATGCAGTAAGTACCAAGCAGTCAGTGCATTCTGTTTGTTTTGCTGTTTTGACTTAGACTTAGACAGACTTAGACAGATTTTATAATTTCTTTTTGTTTACACACAAGTGTAAACAAAAAGAAATTTTGTACAGCTCTCTAGACTATATCATTTTTTTAAAGTGCAGCCTTGATAAGTTAAGCAGCAGTGATAAAAAACATTGTGATGAAAAACAGTAATATAAACATATGACAGTACAGTTACAGTAACATTCAGTTTTTTTTATGTTTGTTTGTTTTTTTTTGCTCTACTTTTCTTCCTTTATCCCTGTGTACCTTTAAGACATAACAATTTGGATTTTTTTTGTTTGTATGCGGAAACAAATCTCCCTCTAGGGTGTGTCTTGATTTGTTTGTGTCTGGTTCTTATCAGCAGACTGGATGTCAGCCAAAAAACTGAAGGTAGTCCTGAAGAAACTCCAGAGTTGGTAGCAAAACACATTAGAGGACATTAAAGGGGATTAAGTAGACATTTGTACTGATACATCACTTCTAAATAGTCACTATATAGTATAAACCCACCAAAGGATTAATCCTTTAAATTTCAAAGTGGTATAAACACTCATTTCCCCTGTATAAGCTTTTACAGACAGAACTGTCCTGTGTGGGGTGGTTTTGTCAGTATAGAGATTTTGGTGATAATAGAACGGCTTAGAAACTTTTCTCCTTCCCGGCAAGAGCCACCTGTTGTAGAGCAGCCAGTTTAAACCAATTTTACATCCTTAAATATGAGACAAATGTCACCAAAAAAACCCAGATGTTTTTTTGTTTATTTATTTTTTACTTTGGCTGTCTGTTTTCTTCTTTTTCCTGCTATGTTCTCTGTTTTGTGTTCCTCTCGTCTCGTACAGGTGTGGAAGCAGACTTCTAGGAGTCATTGTATGTCTTCTATGTTGTCTATTTTTGCTGTTTTGCTTTATTTTCTCTTTACAGATACTTTTCCTGTCTCTATCGTTCTCTCTCTCCCCTTAGTTCTTAAACCCTCTTTTTTCAACCAGGGGGATTTGTGGCGACAGAGCATCTTGCACGAGAAACAGCTCTGAAAAATCTTTCAAAAGCTGAAATCTGTTCACGTCTATCTCCATTTTACTAAGTCCAGAGGAAAAAAATATGGAATTAGAAATCACAAAGATGACTTCCTGTGTGATGTGCTCAAAATGTCCGACTTATTAATAATAAGAAAAATGTAAAAGTTATCATTTCTAATTTAATTAGATATGGATATCCACCACAAAATTGGCCCTACTATAACTGCAGCTGCAGTAATCTTTTATGTCATTTTGACTGATAAAAATATATTGATAGATGTCAGAAATTATACTCTAGATATCTGCAAGGTTTCCTTCATTCTTGATATCTAAAATAAAAATTATGATCAGTAACAACTGGAATATGGGGATCTGAAATATATTTTTAGACTTTATGTTATGTCGACTATATCAAATTCTGTTATTTAGGTATGTGTATTGACAGAGTTTTTTATTTAAAGCAGTTTCTCATCAAAAAATAACAACAAAAATCATCAACAAACACTACATAATAAATAAACATAAAAAATAAACAAGTTCCATCTATCTTGGACAGCTTCATCTTTTCATGGCTCAAGAGCAGTCTATGAGCAAATGCAAAGTACCCCAGGCAAGGAGTTAAAACAGGAACATCTAGCTGCAAGGCAAAAATACTACAAATTGCACCATTTTGCAGCCTGGAAAATACAGCTGTATTTAGTAAAATAAAATAAAAATATCATAACATGATTAGGATGCTGAATACTTGAAGAGAAAAGTACTACCTATATAACTAAAGTTAACTATAAAATTAGATAATTGAAAGGTTCTGAAACCTTGGTGCTTAATATGCTAAGGAAACACTCAGCTAGCACTTAATCTGCAATATGTTTCATTACATGATTTGGTGATTTAGTCAACACATCTATAAATGTCTACGATTTTCTGCTTCCCTAAATCAACCTCTTGATAGCTGGCTAGCTCTTGTAGTTTCAGAGAGGTTTGTCCCTATTTATTTGTCCTGGAAACATGATTCATCTCGTCAGCTCATAATGCACTTAATTGGCTTTAGGAAACAGTACTGGAAAAAAAACATTTCAAACCTTGCTGTATAAAGAATGCTATAATATAACATGTAAAACAGACACATATATATATATTTGGATCTGAAAAAATTGAGATTGGTGCATGTCGGGGATAAAAGAATCTAACTAAATTTAAATACTTTCAGCAACACTGTCACATAAACAGAATCAGAATAATAGACATACACTTTATTATTTTATGATAATAATTATTGCAGGGCCTATATTAACGATTAAAGCCGATGTTTCTTACTTCCTGCGTGTTTGGCTCCAACATCTTCACTTGCAGCACTGTTGAAGATGCAGGCTGATGTGCTAAAAACAGATTCTGAGGACTTTTATTATGAACAAATGAAATATTACTGGATTAATTAAGAGATTTTAAATAGTCATTGCTAGGTGGCATAGAAAGATAAAGCGAGTGTTCAAAATTCAGAATGGAGAGGGCAGAAAAAAATTAGAAAAATGAGACTTACTCAAAGACAAAATTCAAAAACATAGTCACTGATTCCTGACTTTCATTTGATATGTTCAGTAATTTTTTCATTCCTTTTTCTCTTTTCTTCCAGACAAATGCAATCAAGACCTCCAAGTACAATTTGTTCACCTTTCTTCCACTCAACCTGTTTGAACAGTTCCAGAGGATTGCTAATGCCTACTTTCTTGTTCTGTTGGTGCTTCAGGTAAGATGCAACAAAAAGCATCCAAATCACAGACCTTAGTGTTAGGAAAACTCAAAGCATCAGTTCCAAATTTTTTGTCTGTTTTTTTTAATTAGAAAACAATCAAACCTTCATTTAAACAACTAAACCCTCTTTCACCAGAGTTTCCTTTAGTTTTAATTTGGTTACTTTGTGCAGCATTGATTCACAGTGAATGTTTAATCAATCAGTCAATCAATTGACTTTATTTCTTTATTTAAATTTGACTTTATTATTACAGCACATTTAAAAAGTGCAGGGGTAATGCAGTGCTGTAAATAAAAATAAAAACAAATAAAAAATTAAAACATAATATTAAAATAGACATAATAACATATTGTTTACAAAAGGGATTTAATAACTACTCTGTTAATAAATGTCTGACTTTAGAAGATTTGATGGTGTGTGTTTATTTCTTCTTCAAATAACTCACCATCATAACAAAGTTTTAAAAACTTAACTTTCCAAGACATGCAGTCACAAAAATAACTATTATATAAAATTATATAAAGCCATATGCATATATCTCTGTCATTACAAAGCAAAACTGCAGGCAATCCTTCCGCATTGATAATGAAAGCAAATTATTCGGTCCATTCTTTGAATCCTCTTTTCTCATCAACTATCTTCCTTTTCTTCCCTTTGGAATCCATGGTGCGAGAAACAGCTGCAGCTTTGTCTGCCTGTCATCGCCCTGCGCTGGTTGGTTGCAAGTTATGATCTCTATGGCTATGAATCAAATTATTGTTTACATTTATTTATTATACAAATGTTTACAGCATTGGAAAACATAATTATTTTTTATTTGAGCTCCTGCACACCATATTAAAACAAACAAAGAAAAAAAAATTGATTTTCATAAATTTTTGAAAAAGCTCCAGGGAGCTGCAAGGGGAATAAAGAGCCGCATGCCACGGGTTGCCGTTCCCTGCACTAGGCTAACACTAATAGTGATGTCATTTTTACTAGTAAGAATGATATTTCTGATATCTGAAATGTTCACTTTAGATAGAAAGAATATTATTAAAGATATCTGAACTACATATCCAGTCAAGCGAATATATGTTAAAATTGCCACTTGAAAATAAGTAAAGATTGTAGATATCTGAAATGTAGTTCTTAGTAGTACAAAATTGAGTCCTGTTTACAGAAGATTTAAATTCAACTGGCAGAAATTTAATTAATGATATCTATGTTACATTTCTGACTAGAAACCATTGTAATTGTGATTAGGGAGAATACCTTAATGCTATCTATAATAGAAATGTGACTAGTCAGTGTGCCAAACTGATGTTAGAACGGAGCCCATAATTGTTTAGAAAGTTTGTCAAAAATTCAAATTCAGGAATTCTAATTTAACTAGTCCTATAATAATATAAGTAGTTGATATCTGTAATGACATTTTTTTTACAAGTAGAAATATATTTCTTTTCATGAAAAAGTATATCTATTTCAGTAACTCTAAGTTCAAAATAAAGTTATACACATCTATACGTTTTTGTATGATGGAGCATTAGGGCCAGGCTAGAGGTAATTCTTTTTTAAAGTCGTAATATTATGAGAATAAAGTTGTAACATTACCAGAATAAAGTAATATAATTACGAGAATAAAGTCGCAAGGAGAATAGTCACAAAAATTACGAGAATGAAGTTGTAACATTGCGAGATTAAAGTTGTAACATTAAGAGAATAGAGCCTTAAAATTACGAGAATAGTTGTAACATTATGAGAATAAAATTGTAACATTACGAGAATAGAGTCGAAAAATTAGGAGGATAAAGTCGTAACATTACGAGAATAAAGTCAGAAAATTATGGGAATAAAGTCGTAATATTATGGGGGAAAAAAGTCCTAATATTACGAGTACATAATACATTTGAAATACATCATCATCATCAACATAATTGCATTTTCCATTATTAAAAAAACATGAGGACTGTAAATTTTGAATCTAAGGAAGGAGCTGATTAAGGAGACCACAAGTAAAAAAACTAAATTATTTAAATACTCAAAACTGAGGTCCAGAAGATCATGACAATATGCAGCTGTTACCATAATATAAAATGTTCTTAATGACAGAAATGTCGCTGAGCAACTTGAAATCTAACAGAAAACTGAACCAGATGTAATCGTTGTTCTGCAGGAATGTTTCTTGCACAACTACTGTCTGTCAGCTTCAGATAGTTAATTGTCTCTGAGGGTGAGGTTGCATGTTAACCACACAGGAAAGCAAAGAATCAAGAGAATAGAAAAGTAAGGAAGTAAAATATCCAACACAGGAAATTGCCTCATCGTGTGCAAAGCAGTGACTTTACACCACTAAGGTCAACTCTAACGTCTGATCTCTAAACAGAGAAGGAATAAACATAAGACATGTGCTGCTCTGTTTGAGTTTTTGAAACAGCTACAAAATGTTATTATAACTGGAAAGGAAACAATAACATTAGTCATTACATATCTATCAACTGTTTTATTTTGAGATCAGAATGGAAGTTAGAAAAGATCCTTTGTGTAAAAAAAGGAGCTCATGCCAATATTGATATATTTTTATTTATATATATATATATATATTAGGGATGGGACGATTTGTGAAAACCGTCCGAACCGTTCGGTTCGACTGTCTCGGTTCGATTCGCGTGTGTTTCGTTCGGTTCATGCGCTTCTCCTTTTTCTCATAGGCAAAGCGTTTACTGCGACCAAAGCCAACCACCAGTAGTAAACACGAAGAAGAAGAAGAAGCAAACCAGCGTAGCCGGGTGTAGCAGGGAAAAAAGTCAGTTGTTGTGGAGAATTGTGTGGGTATGGCGAGTGGGAAAGAACAGGAGCTGGAAGACGCGCCAGCAGCACTTTATAGGTCTGCTGTATGGGACCGCTTTGCATTTAGAGTGACCTACGATGACGGCGGAAAGAAAGTTGTGGATAAAAGTGCAACAGTGTGCAAGCATTGTGCAACACGTTTTGTTTATGCTAACAACAACACGACCAACATGTCATGCTAACCCCGAAATCCCTCATACTCCGTCAGCAACCCCAAACACCAAAATAATACGGTTGTAAAATAAATCCATATATTCGAAGTCCTGTGCAATGAATTTATTCACCAGATCAGCAGACATAAACATTGATGTATGGCGTCACCATTAGTCGAGTTGTAAAAAAAAAAGAAAAAGAAGGGGGATGGTGGAATTTATTTATTTATTTATTATTTTTTTTGTAGTATACGTAGCGTAATGAATATAGTCTATTAAGCTAAAGCAATATGCATGGTATGGTTATTACATGTCAGGTACGCCGGTCATTGACCTTGACCAAGGCACCTTTCAGTAGAACTGCAGTCAGTCCCTGGACTGACATGGCTATCACTGCCCCTACAGAGTTAGGGACAAAAAGGACAAATTTCCAACTGGGATCATTTTCGTTGTCATGGTAGGACACTTCTTTGATTTTACATTGGAAAATCTTTTGGCAATTAATCTATTAAGATTTGGAAGTAAAACTCACAAAACATTGCAAATGGATATAATCCTTTCAAGCCAAGTATTTTTTCATTCAAATTCAATCAATTAAATTGAAACAGCTGAAATTATTTTCAAAATCTAAAAAAACGTATAAGCCTGAAAATGAAATAAGCCTATATAAAATCTAAAAATTTTACTCACCTTTCAAATATTCATTTAGAGTATTTATTTTATAAAATAGACTGTTTATCAGAAAATCAGTATTGCTTCTTTTGGCTATTTTAAAATAAGCTAGGCTACATGCTGGCAATGAATGAGGTAAAACTATTTCTATCGAAAAACTCTCACAAAGAGAAAAGACAATTAGGAGAAATTCATTGATACAATAACTTTGTCTTTGGCGCTCAGACCTCGGCAGGAAACATAGCGCTTAATTTTGATAGATATGCATAAACAGGAGTAGAGAATAGGGCTTTTTCCCCCCAGGCCTGAAACTTGTGGGTGAGTGGAGATAGATGAAGTTGGTCAGTCTGTAGACTGCTGGTTAGCGAGACGGTGTGCTGAGCTTTATGGGGTGATCCAGTGGACTGCATGAGCTGATACTAGAGCTTCACTCAGGGACCTGTCCATCATGAGCAAGCATGAAGCAACTGTGGAGATAAAAAAACTCCCCGTTGGGAAGAAACCTTTGGCAGAACCATGCTCAACATGGCCGTCTTCTGCCAGACCGGTTGAGTTGAGACAGGGAACACAGTAAGAGTCCAGGAGGAATCACATTCTGATTAAGCTTTAGCTACGATGGTGGAGGAGGGGCTGGAGGTGGGTTGAAACGATATCATCTGAATAAAGTCACACAGCGCATCCACAGTCTCCGCATAGGAGCAGACAGTGCGGTTCGGAGGCCTTTGGATGTCCATTGGCTTTCGTTAAGGTGTAGTTCAAAGCTTATTGGCTGTGTTGCAGGTGGATATAGGAGAACAATAACTTTCTTCAGTTGAACTTCCGCCTAGGCTCCATTTCAATCTAAAAAACTCACACAAAGAGAAATGACAATTAGGAGAAATTTAGTGATAAAATTACTTTGTCTTTGGCACTCAGACCTCGGCAGGAAACATAGCGCTTAATTTTGATGCATGAACAGGAGTAGAGAATAGGGCTGTTTCACCAAAAAAAAAAAAAAAAAAAAAACAATTGCAGAGGTTAAGGGCCGATACGACAGCATGCTCAGAAGGCAGAGACTGAATTGAAAGCTAAGAAAAGTAGAACAGCAGGAAGAGTAAAAGAGGAGATGAGCCGCAAAGGCTCACTAAAAGACCAGTGAAAAGAGGGCTAGGGCCAGTTGCCACGAAGGCCTACTGAAATTTGTGAAGGGATGGTGAGGTGTGGTGAATTGTAATGGGATGAATGAGGGGATGATTGCTGGAATGAATGATAGGATGAATTATATGATGAATAATAGGAGGGAGCCTGGTATAAAACCATCTGGCATGATGAATTACAGGAGAGAGATGGGTGATGAGAATG